ATATTTTTTCTTATTTTCATTCACAAAATTTCATTCTACTTACATAAACTTAATAAACATGTTCTCATCATGTATGCTTGGATTGTTGATAAAAATCTTATAAGACATTAAACAAACCTGGTCGTCTTCCCAAGTTAATTCCCTGTTAACTGTTTTTACAACACATGCACGTTATGCAAGTATCAACAAAAAAAAATCACAAAAGTTAAAATGGTATAAAAGTGAAATACATGTTTTCTTCTGTTTTGCTGTTGTACTTGATATACATAAAATAATTGAAATCAACCCATTCATTTTTACTGCATCTTTACTTTTACATTTCTTCTTAGGTTGCCAAAAACATTTAAATACAAATAAAATGACTGTAGCAAAAATAATAAAAGGAAACAGTAGGTAATTTTACAAATAATAAATGTGAACCATTTCTGCCCTGATCCAGAGTCAATTGGGTCACAACTTTGGCTAAAGCAACACTTCTCAGTATTAGTTAAAGGTGTGCACATTGATGTTGAGTATTCCATAGACACACGTGGCTCAGCATGCAGTATCAATGGGATGTTTTTTTCTATCACAGCCTTCTAAGTGCTCCAAACCCTAAAGTATCCACAATAACTACACCTATGACCAGAACAAATTATCTCTTTTATTTCCCACCAGGACAAACCAAAATGTAGGCAGTTTTCTTTGCTTAGACATCAAAGCAGTTTTAAGCCTGGCCCTTGTGAAGCCAAAATGTACCAAGTGTACTCTGTCAAACATTTACAACTTGTATAAAAATTCTACATCCCCATATTGGCCACCTAAAGATGAAAACAGATAACTCCCTAAATGGTAAATGACTTTATTTTCTTAATATTAAGTATAAAAGCCACAGAGTAATATAGAAATTAAAATATAAGTAAAATAAACCTGTCCTAAATTGTAAACAATAAATTATTTGTGGGACAGCATAGATGACAAATGGTCTACTATGTAAATTTTAGAATGAGGCAGACAAAAGTTGGAAGGCTG